TCCTTTTTTCCCTCAGGCAGTTTTATATTGTGAAACAAAATTCCCATGTGAAGCGGGAAGAGTGGGAAGAACCCTTGTTTCAAAGAACCTTACTACATGAAACAAGAAGTGGATTACAAATAAATAAATACATTTATATTTACCTTTACATATCATTTCCATAGACTGCTTGACACTTTATAATTTGAGTACTGAATTTCAGCTCAGTGTACCTGTAGACATAAAGGTAACATTGCCAGGAATTTTTGTTTTGTTTTGTTTTGTTTTGTTTTGTTTTGTTGTAGCTGGGGTGCTCTGTCTGGGAACGAGAATGATAACAGGCAAACATTTTAAATCAGTATAATAACTCCCCTCTCAAAATTCCTATATACCCATTTGGAAACAAGTGTGAGTTTAAAAAATGGAATTGTTTGGTATGAAAATATTAAAGTTTGACTTTTTCTTTTCTCTCCCTGCCCCCTCCAAAAATCCAGCTTTAGAAATAGGTGTGGCACTTCTGTGTTATCATTGTGTTATTTGGGACACAGATCCAAAGGCGCCCATAACTTGTATACTGAAAATTGGGGGGGGGGGTTAGGGAGCTGGAGAAACAAGGGAGTTTGCTTGTGCCCTCAGGTTGTTGGGAAGCTTTTCAGCACCCCCTAAAAGTTCAATGTAGTTAAATTCCAGGAAACTGGACCATCTTCACATAAGCAGATAAAATAACAACGGATTTCATAATGTTACAATTATCAAGCTTTACAAGGGAGTGGTTACAATGGCAGCATGCAATGGATACTGTTAGATGTGGTAGTAGCACATATTTTTAATGAGATGCTGGTGGAAATTAAGTTGATGTAGCTAGCAGTTCCATGGGCTCCCTTGGGACTGGGCAAATCCCATTCACTCTCTATGACAGGCTTCCTCAACCTCAGCCCTCCAGATGTTTTGAGACTACAATTCCCATCATTCCTGACCACTAGTCCTGCTAGCTAGGGATCATGGGAGTTGTAGGCCAAAAACATCTGGAGGGCCGAGGTTGAGGAAGCCTGCTCTATGGTCTTCATGTTACAGAAGTCTGTAACATTTTCTCTGTGCCCTGTAAAGAGCAGGGACACACAGTTAAGAACATTCACAATTTACATGTGGCTTAAACAAAGTAGCAAGTAACAAGCAGTATTTATGAAGAGTTATGATCAATTTTATGTTAAAAATTCACACACTGATGATACCAAGAGTATGACGTATGGGCCCAAGAGTATGGGCTTGAACACAAAGGTACTCAGGTGAGCATATGGCACCTGCAATGTTGTTGAACTCAGTAAAAACAAAAACCCATTTTCAACACTATGAACCCAGTCCAACCCTAACATGACAAACACACATCCCAAGGAATGTGGGGTGCCTAATATTTAGAATAGCAGAAGTTGGGAATGGAAGCTGACAAATTAGAATGTGTAACAGCATGGCTGTTTCAAAAGAACTGCTGCCAGAAACCTTCAACCCCCCTCCCAACAGTGGCATAGCTAGCTGCTCCAGCACCCAGAGCGGCAGGGGCGAGGCAATACGCGCACGGGGGTGGCGCGGCGAGCTACCCATGGAGTCTACCTGGTGGATGTAAGCCCCACACTGCCATTTTGGGCAGCGCGGGATCCCGAGCCACTGTATCACTCCCAGTAGAGACGCGTGGCTTGGGCGCACTGCAGGCCAGGCCCCGTGGTAAGTGCCACCCCCCGCGGTGTCCATTCCACTTCCAAAGTGTTTGAAAACCAAAGCGCAGCTACTGATTGGCTGCAGGAAGCTCCTGCAGCCAATCGGAAGCTGCAGAAACTTCTGGGTTTTGATTGTTCTTTCGGGAGCCAAAACGTTCGAGAACTAGGCTGTTCAAAAACCAAGGCACGACCATATTCTTAACAAGATAAGTTTTCAATTGTTTCCTAAAAGCAAAAATGCTAGTTCCTTGTCTGAGTTCAACTGGAAGCTGATTTCATAGAGTTGGAGATAATAATACTAAAGATCCATTTTCTTTTTGATATCAGCTATACCTTCAGGCTATACAGAACACTTAGCAATTCCCCATAAAAGGGATGAAATTGCGACTCAGAGGTCTATGGGGCAAGGCTCCAATTGGCTAATTAGATCAGTTCTCTTTAAAATGTGGACCAAATACATTTCTCCTCCCGTGAACTGGCTATCACTGGCCAAGACTATTTCAGTGTATTGAGAATGTCCTTAGCCTGCAGCCATACATCTGGAATAAGCCCCACCCTCTATAATCTGGGAATGCTGCTAACAAGAGTGCCTAGACATACAGTACCTACTTACTGGAATCAATTTGTGTGTGTTTTCTGCTTGGAGTGAGTTCAGATGCCATCTAACTTTCCAAGTGATGAATATATTCCAAACTCAGTGCTGATTTCCTCTTTCCCCTTCACAATAGAGATATGGAAACACATTCCATGTCCATCCCTTAACATTTAAATCAGGAAATTGTATGTGACAGAGTTACTCTGTGTTTCCATAACTATAAGCACATTAAGACCTGCTGTCAGCTAGCTCATAGCTTTCCCCACAATAAAGCCACACTGAATTACAAACAGTACCTGCTTTCACAATTTAGGACATGTTTTGTTGGTGACCATGTAGTTTTCTTTAAAAATAATAATTCTGAAACTATACTAAAGCATGCCACTGTCAGTTGTTTGATACCCCAGCATTGTATAAATGAGTGATTAGACTCATTAGTTGAAAAAGATTCATCGCATAACTTGTAAAAAAAGGTAAAGGACCCTTGGACAGCTAAGTCCAGTCAAAGGCAACTATGAGGTTGCAGCGCTCATCTCGCTTTCAGGCCAAGGGAGCTGGCGTTTGTCCACAGACAGCTTTCCGGTCATGTGGCCAGCATGACTAAACTGCTTCTGGCGCAACTTGTATTATATCCCTGTTAACCTAAATCAGAGCAACATGGGAAATTGGTTTATACCAAGCCATTTTTACAGCTTAGAGGCAGGGCCGGCCCTACCATTAGGCAGAGTGCAACAGTTGCCTCAGGCAGCAGTTGCCAGACCATTCCCCCCTCTGAAGAGGCTGGTCCTTTAGAGGAAATCTGGCACTGCCGCAACAACCCCAACCCACAAGCAGCCCTCTTTTCCTAGCTTCTTACTTACAAGCAGTCAGAGGGTGGCCATGCCTGTGGTGGGCTCTGGCTTCATCTTCTACTGTTGGGCTCCCTGTCTTCTACCTTACCAGTGCCAACGGGCACCAGTCTCCATGGTTCTTCCTGAGTCCCCTAAGCTAGACTGCTGTGCATTTCAAAACCTAGCCTATGGTGAAGGATACTGCCCCTTTGCTAGTGTTGAAGTAAAGTTCAATTGGCCGTCCTGTCAGAATCTGGAGGCGCCATCTTGGATTTTGCCTCAGAAATCAAAACAGCTTGGGCCATCCCTCCTTAGAGGTTTTATTAGAAATAAATAGAAATAAGTCACACCACTGGGCCACCTAGCTCAGTACTGGCACCAACCAGCAGCAGCTCTCCAAAGTTTTAGGCAAGAGTCTTTTTCGTTCATACCTGCAGATGCCAGTAATTGAACCTGAGACTTTCTGCACACAAATCTTGTGCTGGATGCACCCAGACATGCCTCCCCTCCAAAAACCAACCTGTCAGAACAATTTCTCTTTTAAAAAAAATGACTTATTTCTTAATGCTCATGTGATAAAGAGACATTGTTAAAGGGATTTCACAATTGCAATAGGGTGAGATTTCATTCTTCAAGCTACAATAACTTGAATCAGCACTCTTTGCACGTGACTGAGATTTCCCAGTGTAAAGGTCACTATATGGAACATTCTGTTATATGCAGTTTCATTATTGCCATTTTACAGTTTCAAATATGCAGCCATGTAGGCTGCAGTTTGAATCAGAAGAGTAGCATGAAGGGAGATGAGCTTCTTAACCCTTTGCCCTGGAAATTTCTGCCAAAGATTACTCCAAAATGCATCCCCCCCCCCCCCCCGATTAGGGGAAATGGGCCAGTTTTCAGCAGGAAAACAGCAAGGTGGCTGAGAAGGCCCTCTCTCTGTGCCAATTTTTGTCTTAAAACTGCAGCCACAGCGCTGGCCTTGTTTAAGAAGAGATAAAAGCATAGCCCCGTGTGGAATATTTTCTTCTAGTATCTGTCAAGATAAGGGGGCCAGAAGCTGGACCCTCTCCCAAGAAAACCCACACCAAAAATAGAAAACATACAAAACTTTGTTTGGGCTGATTACACACAAACTAAAATAAAACATCAACTAGGGTTAGGGCTTTGGAGCAAGATGCAAGACACACAGGCACAAAACTGTTACTCAGCTAATCCCCACCCCATGGAGGGGGCCGGAAGGTTTTATCATAGATCACCCTGTGACTTCTTGTCCGGTGCTGATCTCCTGACCTACAGGTGAAACTCAAGAGTCCAGCTACGTGCCAAAAGCATGAGAAGAGAGCTAAGAAGAGTTGCTCTCAAGATAAGACCAAGGCCACAATGATCTCCAGCTTCCTTAACCAGTTAAGCACCAAACTTTGACAATATCCATAGTAAAAAATGGCAATGCCCCTCTGAAGAGGAAAGAAAGTCTACTGCAACCACAATTTAATGAAGGTTATCTGTCCTGTAGGGGGTCTCTCTCTTGTGTTCCTTGGCAGTTTAATCTATTGATTTGTGGAGCAGGCAGTGCCTTATATGTCCTACCTCTCATTATTAACAACAGCACCCAAATCCCATCCTCTTTCTTCTGTGCACACACAGAGATTGTCAAAGGCTTGAGACCACACAATACATGGCATAGTGCCATAGATTACGAGGCTTGACTAAATGCTCATGGACTCAGAATTGAAATTCTAAGGTTCCAGTGACTGTATAAGTGCTCGACTCCCTGGGCCAGAGTTAGCTAGCTCCTTGTGACACCAGAGCACCTAAGCCAGTGACATTCAGAAGGGCCTCTGCTACCAAAGAGGTTATTGTGACATCAAGAAACTGCATCAGGAAAGGTGGGCAAGCAGAAATGACAGAGGTAGGGAAGAAAATACAAAAGGAGGGATGGGGACAAGTTAATGCCAGTCAGGAGGGAGACCTTGGGTGTTTCCAGACAGGAGCTCTATATTGCAAATTGGTCATACAGATCCAGTTTTTGTCTGTGTGCGACTGACACATTAATTTCCTCAGATTAAGGGTCGTCCCCCCCAAGCCATGGATGTTCATTGCTATTCCACTGCTTGCCATCCACACCAGTGGGCAGAGCTCAGTGAAATGTATTTAAGCTGTGTTGTTTAGCTCCTCCCCTAAGTCACACCTCTCCTGCCCTGCACAAAGTTCTTTTTTCCACTCCGGGCATGCATTAGTAATTCCGTATCTGTGCATGTGTGCCTTTAAAAAAAATCACTGGAAGTGCACAAGACTTAGCTGTCGTGTTTCATAGTAGGCAAAATGGATGCTTGTGTTTTGGAACAATATCCATGTCAATGTGCCTTTTAATTTTAATTTAATATTGAGGTCAAAAAACTGCAGCAGCAATGCAGTACCAAAATTATATTAAAGAAGTCTTCTGCAAGACCACCATAATAAAATGTAAAAAAAAAGAAGTCTTATATGCATATTGCAATTACAATCTCTGGGATAATTCCCCACATTTGCTGTGTGGAAATCTTGAGAGAATAGCTCCTCTGAACTGGGTTGTTAGAATTCAGATGTGCCTTCAGCATGCAGCATCAATGGAAAGCTTCAAGTTATTATTAATTTATTAATGTATTAATTTATTATTTATACCCTGCTCATCTGGCTGGGTTTCCCCAGTTGTCACAAAGTAAAAGAGGCAGAATTTTAGGATGGTTGGAGAGGATCATTGGATCTGTTATGTTGAGCAGAATACATACTGAGAGAGAGAAAAGCCGTATATGTTGAGGGCTTTATTTTTCTTCCACTAAAAAGGGAATATTGGAAGCAATAGCTTTAGCCATCATTATACAAGGAGTGCATTTTGGTGCATTTTAGTGCAAATGGCATTTCATTCGGTAAAGGTAAGTATTTCATCTGGTCTTTGGTTCATGGGATTTCATTATGAAAAAGCCTCTGAGAACCGGCCCCTGATTTCTCATTCAAAATACAGTATAATGGCATCTCTTTTTTACCAATAATAAGGTCCGTTTATATACTGTTTATATATAATTATTTCCATATTTTGTTTTTAACATGTTTCCCCTCCCAATTTTCTTCTTCTTCTAGAAATCAGAATTTAAGGAAGGAGTTCTTCGCAGAACAATGGCACTGGTGTCCAACAACACAGCATTAAACTACCTCCTTTCAAAACTGCTAGAAGACTATGAAAGCAAACCCAGCCACCCGACAGCTGCACCAGTCGTTGCAACAAATGACCATCTGGAAGTCATCTACATACTCCTATTGCTTGGCTTCTTTGGCTTCTTCACATTCGGAATAATGATGAGCTACATCCGCTCCAAAAAGCTTGAACATTCAAATGACCCGTACAATGTGTACATTGCCACAGACATTTGGCGGAAGAAGGACAAGGCCAGCTTGAAAGCCAAGGTGATGGAAAATTATAAATCAAGCTTCGTCTTGGAAAACCAGCATGCTGTAGAACAGCCCACCAGTCACATTCCTGAAGTGAACCCTTCCTAGCAAATGGGCAGCTAATCTTACAGGCATCATACTGAATTTTCCAAAACTGTGATAGTAAGCAGTTTGTGGCCTTTATTTACCCCTTTTAAGAAGAAAAGTACACCCCCTGCCTCTTCAGGGCTGAATTTAGGTTTGATAAGGCCCCAAGCTACTGAAGGTAATGGGGCCTTTTATATTTCCAGCTGTCCTTTGTAAACAACAAATTGTCACTGTTTTTGTGTTGAATATATGCTATATGGTACTTTACGGACCTAATAGCTATCTAATGCCATTTGCACATAACAAACATCATAGGAGCCTACACAACACAAAACACTTTGCCGTATGTAGGTTTTATTTTATTTGTTTTTTATCTTATATTTTGGAAATGTACATCCAGTTTTCTTCCCTTTAAATTTTTTTGGGGCCCCCAAGAGAGTAGGGCCCTAAGCTATAGCTTGTTTAGCTTATATGTAAATCCGGACGGCCTCTGTTCAACCCCCTTAGCATAATGAGAAAAGTGCATCTGCAGCATTTAGAAATCCAGTGCATTTTGGAAGACTATTCTGTACTGGCAGGTGCTGCTTCCAGCTTGGGAATCAAGCTGCTGAAGAAGATATATGCTGACTATGATCTACTTCCACCATAAGGAAGGAATTCCACAAGGAATTTGGGCAAAAAAGAAGAAGTAAATTAAGCCTCATTCCACAAACATATTCTTAACACCAACAGGAAAATTTAACTACAGACCAGAAATGTTGTTTTGATTTCACATGGGGTTAGGTATTTCCTTCCAACCTACTGTAAACAAGTTACTGGTCCTTATGGGGTGGAAGATGACAAGTCAGTTTAATGTAATGCTAACCACATTATTTCCCTGTGAGCTGCAACAAGGTACCTCAAACTGGCTGGCTTTTAGCCACTTCATACTGATGACTTGGGGAAGGTGTTTACTTTGGTGTAGCGATTAGAAATAGCTGCGAGTGACTGTGCAACTTCAAAGAAGGCAGCCGGGTTTGGGGGGGGGGGGGCAGAAAGATACACTGCTAATGCTAGGATGATTCTGGATAAAATGCATCAATAGGTGGCACCCTAGAGCAAATGAACCTAGGTACAAGTATTCTGGAAGGCAATGGCTGGACAGAGCATTTCTTTTCCATTCTTGAAGCTCTACTGTTTCCTTGCTTTTGTTTTTGAAAGCTCTTTACCATAAAGCCTTGTCTCTCTACATTTAATCGTTGCTTCTTGAAACTGAATTTCCCCCTCCTAACTTCTTTAGTACTGGTACTCTCCTTTGTTAATTCTATCTGCATATGTGTGACATATGTTTAATTTTGGTACTTTCTTTTCATTCCTTCAAAGAAACCATTCTGCATCCTAGTTCTAAAGTTGTGTCTCTCAAAATGCAATGTATTTTAGAACCTAGACATTATTGTGTTAAATCAGCTAGATAAATTACATAATTCACATCCATTCAAATCAGTGAGAAACTTGCTGTGAAAATCCATAGAATGCAAATTGCAGAAAAAAGACCTATTACAGATCAGTAGTTTTTTTCTCCAAATATACAATGCTGATTCCCATTATTAATTTACACAGCTGCTCTTCTCAAATAATGTGTTTTCTCTTCAGTATTAATTATTTCCATTGAATGTGCCTGTAATTTCTGGTTATTATATAACTTTTGTATTATTTTAAACCAACGATTTCCTTTATTTTTAAAAAGGAAGATTGTACCTACAATTCCTCTATAGAGGAACACCTCATTGTGGGGAGGGGCGGTTAATGTTATGGTATGAGGCTATATTATTAGGGTTGCAAGTGACCTGAAAAAATGGCCTAAACTGTTGTGCTTTTTGCCAGAGTATGATTTGCAGAAATCAACAGGTAAACCTTACCTGATATGGAGGTAAATATGATCACCTTCCAATGACTACAGATTAAAAATGCTATAAAAGGCACAACTGCTAAAAATGGCACCTCTGTTTGTCATAAGTTTAGAGTGTTTTCCATGCAATTGTAATTCTTCTTTATTAATGCGTAAATTTTCTTTATAAAATTTAATAAAGTGTTAATAACAAATATGTATCACATTTGTATCTTGATAATATTCCACATCATGGCAAAGCCATTCTGATTATCTAAAACTAAAGATTTTAGTGAACAAAATGCCTAGTTTTTGTTTTGTTATAAATCTATGGTTCAGACATCTGATTTATTGCTTGTTCATTCAAAACATATTGTTTGTGCAATTAGTTTGCCAAAGAAATAGTATGCTTTTAGGTATTTGCTCCTTACTTGTACGTGGCACGTAATGCAGCTAGTTTGGGGAAGGCTAGGATAAGAGGCCTTTTCTTTTACAAAAAATAAGTTTTAAATTATCAACGTTGATCATACTTTGAGTTTGTTCAGGCCAAGTATACATTATACAGGGAATGGAATAAAGAGATAAAGAGAGAGAGGGGCAAGCCAAGCCAAGCAGGGTGCTCTTGGTTCCCCATAATTACCTTTGCAATAATCTTACACTTTTTTCGAAGGCATCCAATATGATTTTGGCATGTTTTGCTATTCATTATAGAATTGCTCACTAATCTTGTGTAGTAGAAGCAGTCCATTCTGTTTAACTATAGTGAAAAACTCACTGATTCCCAATAGAAGCTTTTTTGGGGGGATGGGGGGGTTAAATTTGAATTTTACGGCACTTTTACAGGAAATAAAATATATATATCTAGGTACCAAGAGAGTAATTTACAATCAAACTCACAGTGTGGTATAACAGCTAGGTGAATGGGTTTCAGGTAATTCAGATCCTGCTCAATTTTGAAGCTTAGCTTATGGAAGTTATTGAACATGGGATACAAGCCTGAAGTGTATTGTAATGCAATGAGCCTTATGCTTTTGATGCGGAGTGTTTCCTGGCCACAAAACTCACCCTGCAAACATTTGCAGCTCAAAGTATTAGCAATGACATTAGCATTACTAACCTCAAAGTTTCATTTCTTACACATAAACTTGGTTTTTAAAACATGAGTCATTATCATACCCGTACTATTTTGTTCATTGCAATGCTATGATAAGAGCTCTGTTTATCTCTCCAGCCGGCCAGCGACAGACAGTGAATGACAGCAGAAAAAAGTAAACATAGAAAGAGTGTAAAGTGTTGGTTGACACTGGATGTATTTATAGTAGTGTTGACATGCCCAAAGTGTAAGGAAAATGACTTTTGTGTCTAGCAATGTAGAATTCTCTGAATGCAAACACATCTCTTCAGGTTTGCAATGTAAGGAATGGGTTTTAATTTTGCAGGAGCACCACCTGCTGGTTACATGATGGACTAAGGGCTTCATATGACATCATCATAATTGACAAAATGTCTTAAGGCATTGCTGTTGGCAACAGGATGTGAGGCATAGGATGTGGACCACACTGCTTCTTGGTATTGAAAATATGCTAACCCCTTCCTATATTACACCTGAGTTTTTATTATAGGCTGGGTGCACACTGTGCCTTGGTAAATGATGCAGAATGTTTTTAAAGATAAAATGACCAAATATGTTTCCGTAATACTGTATTATCCAAAATGCTTTTCGAGAGAAAATGCAAGGCATAGCTAAATCAAGCTTGTAATAGCATGGTCGCAGATGGTATTTAACAATAAGAAAACGCTAATGAGAAAATGCTAATAATGTTTCCATTTCACTTCATCAGCCTCTCCCAATGCAGTGTACATGAACACACGTGGACAGACACACAAGCGACCTTTATTTTACAAGATGTCATACATCAAAATTAGTTGCAGGGGACCTTCAAAGATTTCAGAGGTTTGCTTTCAGACTCTAGGAAAGAAGCATGTGGAGGACTGACATAAACCTTAACATCGTCCTCTAACATTGGTGGACGCAGTGAAAAAGCTAGAAAGAGAATTTGCAGTTTAATGGATGAAACTAATCCTATACACACTTTCTTGGAAGTAGGAGTCTTTTACCGCAATGGCTGGTATTCAACTGCAATATACACCAAAGCAGTATCATGCCATTTTCAATAGCCATGGCTTCCCCCAAAGCATCTTAGGGACCACAGTTTGAAGTGGTATGATACTGCTTTTAATGCACAGTGCAGATGCAGCTTAAGTTTTACTCATAGCAGACCTACTGAAATGAATGGAACTAACTTAGTTATGTTTCATAATTTCAGTGTGTCTTCCCTGAATAAAACTTAGGCGAATGCTACCCAATGGGACTTACCCCCAAGTAGAAATTCATAGGATTGCACTTCAAATTTCAGCTGTAAATATTCCCATCAGCTTCAGCCAGCATGGCCAACTGTCAGGGATGATGGGAGTTGTAGTCTAGTGACACCTGGAGGGTCAACATTTCTCCACCTCTAAAATAAAACATAGGTGGAGGTATTCCTAGTATTACTATGACACATTTCCAGCGAATGATACTTTGTTCTCCAAGATCCATCTATCCTTAGTTCCAGTAGCAGCCGGTGAGGCGGTGGAGGGGGGGCTTTTCAAGAGGGAGATGGCAGAGGTGAAACATGGGGAGCTCAGCCTGGTGTGGCCCATCGTGGCAGCAGCAGGACCTTGCAGAGCCAGGCAGAGGCCCGGGCCAGGTAGATAATGTGTCCCCCCCCTTTTTTTACCCTGGGGATAACTGAAGTCTTATAAATAAGTATATAAATAATTTTCACAAAAGTTATGCTGACAAATAATTTTATTTCAAGGCTTGAACCGTATCTGCGTATAAACACAAAATGGAAAAATAGATATACAATAAAAATACACAGGGAAAAGGATTATTTTAAGTATTTACATTTAAAAATGCTTTCCTAGCTTTCTTTTCTGCAAATTCTTGAATTATGCAGGAAAAATCAAGCAACTTTGCCTTATCGTGGTTTATGTTTATGTTTATCATTGCTAAACCGTTTAGGCGTTCTTGAGCCATTGTTGATCAAAAGAAAGACTGCCAGCCATGGCCCCAGGGAATCTGCCCACCACCGCCACTGCCTTTGCGCCTCCATGTTCGCCCCAATGCATCCCCTGCGATTGTGAATATGCTGACCGAGGCCCCCTTTGGAATCGGAGGCCCAGGCCAAGTGGCTCATATGCCCCTCCCTCTGTCTGGGCCTGGGCAGCA